CGAAGACTCGCCCGGATCCTATCTGCCATATCGAAGGTCACATTCACCCGACCGCCCTGCCCCAGGACGACCGTACTCGCCTACTCGCACCTCAATCGACTACTCGCGGCCGCCTGCTTCTGTCAACTCATATGAACCAGTGGACCTCAATGGCAGCCCACGGCCAGGCACGCCGTCCTCACGGTATGGCGGAGGACGGCCAGGAAGCCCTAAGCGGCCACTTCCACCAGCGCCACTCTTTTCAGGCGGTGCACGGCCTGTATCACGCGATTCAGAGGCGACCATGGACATGAGCGACATGACATCCATACCAATGGACGACAAGGACGATCCATTCACCGACTATGGCGACGACCGGCCCGAGCTGCGCTCGCGTGATTCCTACATGACGGACGATACCTACACAGATGTATACACAGCTGCAGATGACGAGAAAGCCGAGCACTACGGGCCGGCTCCCGATGGTGCACAAGCAAGACGAGGTGTCCGCGATGCAGTCATGACCAAGAAAGAAGTTCGCCTGATCAACGGCGAACTCATCCTCGAGTGCAAGATCCCCACCATCTTGTACAGTTTCCTTCCCCGCCGCGACGACATCGAGTTCACCCACATGAGATATACGGCCGTAACATGCGATCCTGACGACTTTGTAGACCGAGGATACCAACTGCGCCAGAACATTGGAAATGCACGTGAAACAGAACTCTTCATCTGCATCACCATGTACAACGAGAATGAGATTGACTTTACCAGAACTATGCACGGCGTGATGCAAAACATCAGTCACTTTTGCTCCCGCATGAAGTCACGAACGTGGGGAAAGGATGGATGGCAAAAGATTGTGGTATGCATCATTGCTGATGGTCGAGGAAAGGTCCATCCGCGCACACTCGACGCCATTGCTGCCATGGGATGCTATCAGGAGGGCATTGCAAAGAATCGCGTGAACCAGAAGGAGGTCACGGCTCACGTGTACGAGTACACTACCCAGGTGTCTCTAGATTCAGATCTCAAGTTCAAGGGTGCTGAAAAGGGCATTGTTCCCTGCCAAATGATCTTTTGCTTGAAAGAGCGCAACTCCAAGAAACTCAACTCACATCGTTGGTTCTTCAGCGCTTTTGGCCGAGCACTCAATCCAAACGTCTGTATTCTTCTCGATGTCGGAACCAAGCCTGGTCCAAAAGCACTTTACCATCTCTGGAAAGCGTTCGACACCGACTCGTCCGTTGCTGGAGCTGCAGGCGAAATCAAAGCCGGTAAAGGCAAAGCCTGGCTTGGGCTGCTCAATCCGCTTGTAGCGTCGCAAAACTTTGAATACAAAATGTCGAATATTCTGGACAAGCCCTTGGAGTCTGTTTTCGGGTACATCACCGTATTGCCAGGAGCGCTTTCGGCGTACCGCTACCATGCGCTGCAAAACGATCACACCGGTCATGGTCCGCTGAGCCAGTACTTCAAGGGAGAGACACTACACGGGCAGGACGCCGATGTGTTCACCGCCAACATGTATTTGGCTGAGGACCGTATTTTGTGTTGGGAACTGGTGGCAAAACGCAGTGAGCAGTGGGTCTTGAAGTATGTGAAAGCCGCTACTGGTGAGACAGATGTGCCAGGTAAGTTGCAATTTTAAATGCGTGCCCAATTCGGTTCTAACATATCGCAGACACCGTACCTGAGTTCATCTCTCAACGACGACGTTGGCTCAACGGTGCTTTCTTTGCCGCTGTATACTCACTACTGCACTTCAAGCAGGTGTGGGCCACTGACCACACAATCTGGCGAAAGATCCTCCTTCACATTGAATTCGTTTATCAATTCGTCCAGCTCTTGTTCACCTTCTTTTCGCTTGCCAATTTTTACCTGACGTTCTATTTCGTTGCTGGTTCACTTGCGGATCCAGAACTCGATCCATTCGGCCACAACATTGGAAAATACATCTTCTACATCTTGCGGTACACTTGCACGCTACTCATCTGCATGCAGTTCATTCTCTCTATGGGTAACCGACCGCAGGGTGCCAAAAAGATGTTCTTTTGGAGCATGGTTATGTACGGTATCATCATGGCCTATACCACTTTCGCATCCTTTTACATTGTCATTGTCCAGCTCAAGGATCCGCAGGCGGAGAAATCCATTGGGAACAACGTCTTTACCAACTTGATTATTTCGACAGCCACGACAATCGGTCTGTACTTCCTGATGTCTTTCATGTACCTGGATCCCTGGCACATGTTCACTTCGAGCGCGCAGTACTTTGCGCTCTTGCCCAGTTACATCGCCACACTTCAAGTGTACGCTTTCTGCAATACGCACGACATCACTTGGGGTACCAAGGGAGACAACGTCGCCAAAACAGACTTGGGTGACGCCAGGGCCAAGAACGGAAACGTCGTCGAACTCGAAATGCCATCGGAGCAACTTGACATTGACTCTGGCTATGACGAAGCACTTCGCAATCTTCGTGATCGTGTCGAAGTTCCAGAGCCACCAGTTTCGGAATCTCAACAACAGGAAGACTACTACAGAGCAGTGAGAACGTACATGGTGGTCATCTGGCTCATCAGCAACGCTATCCTCGCCATGGCCGTGTCGGAGGCCTACTCTAATCGCAAGGTGACCAACAACTTTTATCTCACGTTTATTCTGTGGTCTGTTGCAGGGTTGGCCTTTTTCCGCGCCATTGGCTCCTCAACCTTCCTCATTATCAACTCGATACAGGCCATCATGGAGACAAAACTCAAATGGGAAGATAAAATGGAAGACAAGAAGACCTCGAGAACTGGGCTTGGTGGTGGGCGACGCAAGTTTGGCCGCTTCAGCCGATTCGGCTGGGGTTGGGGCTGGGGCGGTGGCGGCAGTAGCTGGTTCTCCGGCAGTGCAATTAGCAGTAAGATCAGTAGTATGACGCCTAGTAGCTGGGGAGGAAGTAGCGTTGGGCGATGAGAAGACCGCTTTTGGTTATGAGGTGGGAGGTTTGTCACGAATAACGATGGGGTTTTTTTTTGGCGTTTGGGGGTAGATACCAGCGCCCCGGTTAGGCTCTATGCGCACATTAGGTAGTTGTGGATAATGATGGGATGAAGTGGATTGGACGGATGGTAATGAAGGGCTGGACATTACGTGCAATCATGGAGACATGGACATGCCAATTTTCACGCTGCCATTTTATGCTGAAGTCTCCAGTTTAAATGCTTAGTTGTTCAAACACGAAGCTTGTGATGTAATCGTGTACATGTTGTGAGTATCTCATATCATCCCTTGCTCTGAACATCATTTGCTTCGACTGAACCAGCTATCTTCCTCATACGCCAACAAACAGACTTGTCAGTAGCCACGCCACAGAGCCATACACCATACCGCCCAGGCAGACCAAAAAATCCCGCAAGCTCACAGCCCATCGCCGTACCCCCGCCCCTCCACCATTCCACCATTTTCCATCTCCGGCACCAAAGCAACAGCAACCGCATACTCCCCATCATGACTAATACTAACCTCACAAACCTGGCCTTCCAACGAGCCAAAAACCTCGTCACCATCCACCCGCAAATCCCCCTGCTCACCATCAGACACAGCAGGTACGCGTGATGCACCATACACAGCATCAAGAATCAGTGCGCGGGGCCGACCAGACTGAACCGCATCCGCTGAGCCACCTGGCAAAATCAAAATACGCTGGAAACCTCGGGTGTTGGCGTGGAAATGCGGACAGGCTTTGCGACAGGCTTCTTTGGCGGCAAATCTGTCGAGTCTGGTGGTCAGCCGTGGATAGCATGATGTGTAATGAAGGAGGGGGGAATTGCACACCTTCCCGCAAGATAGCGCGAGATATCATCGGTCTTGTGTTGGACGACGGCCTCTGGGCCAAAGCGGTGCCAGAAATCGTGAATCTCGGGGGGAGTGAGGATTCGGCGGATGAAGGACGTCAATGTCGGCAGTTCTGCTTTGTCCCTCTTGTTCCGCGTAATGAGCCGCCGGACTCTACGGATACTGCAGATGTCATTGCCAATCCGCAGTGGGTAGGGGAAGGGGCGGGGTGGCATGTTGGGGACATGCTTGTTGATGTTATCGAGTCCTCACGTTCCAAAAACCAGTAAAAAAAGAAAGGAGCTAGGCCAGGACGACCATCAGAGTGCAAAAAAGACGACGTTGGCCAGATTCGAACTGACGCTCCCGAAGGAACAAGATTTCTAGTCTTGCGCGATAACCACTCCGCCACAACGCCTGATGATGGTACCCTTTCACAGCACTGCATTCATAGACTGCTGTGCTCGATGAAGAAATTCCGTTTTGTAGGGTATAGATCGCAAGTAGACTCAAACTTGCTTTTATTTTAAGAGCCTGGTTCCTCCTCAATGGTCATTTGGCTCATTAGTGCTGACGGCGGAGCTGCAGGATAGAGAGATAGCATGGGTCTTGCAGGTCATGAAACGCCCTAAGCCCGGCTAGCCAACCTGCACTAGTTTCTGTATCGGATACGTGAATTCGCTCAGGTCACAAGTCCCTATGCAGCGTACTTTACACAAAGACCCGAGGTATTTAGACAAAGGATCATCGTGCCTCTTCCTGCTACCCCACAACTCCCACGCCTTACTTGCTCCATATCCGTCCATACAGCTTGGTATGTGCTATCATGGCTCTTGTTCCCCATTCTTGGTCCGTATTCCTGTCCTTGTTCTCGTCCACAGTCTGCCTAGCCAACATGCACCGCTCTCTACGTAGGCGCGGCATAACTTCCCAGAGCGTTTTCTCCTCTCGGGACACTTCGTTCAACTCAACAGATGTCGTGTTGCCAATGCTGAGCGGAAAACGCCTCTTCGGACTTGGAGTTGGGACACGCATGCTCGAACCCCGGTGAGGCCGGGTCGAACGACGGATGGTGCTCACCCAGTCTTGTCATCCCTCTTTACATGGCTTGTCGCCTGTGAACTGTCATGGTAGCCTAACAACTCTGACCCAGCATGATGCAACATGGCTACGAGTATGACGATTGTCAGATCCGACAAAGATGAGATGCAATGTTTGAAGAGGGAGTTTATTCGCCTTCCCCATCATCTACCCGCCATTCCGGAACCTTTTTTTTTTAGAAACATGGGAATGCGCGCCCTTCTGTCGATGTTTGTGCAGTGATTACGTTTCCCATACTGCTGACTGCGCTGAAGTTGCACCAGTCAGCGCATCTGACAGGTCTGGCGAGAAAGGATGCAGCCTACAGTAGTCCAAAACCGATAGCAGGGGCCCCTGGGCGAAAACGCCATTCCGAGACGGGTGTGCAAGGTGAATGCTCGTCATGGGATTGGTTCCAGGTTTGTACTTTGTGTAAGCGGCGATGACCTCAAGGCCGGCGATATAGTGGTCGAGGCCGCTGTCCGCCATGCTTGAAATCGATTCTGGTTATCATTGTCTCGGTGCGAGATTTCTGGGTTGCGAGCACCTCGAGATTGCTGCTTGTTTTTCTTTGCGTTTACTACTACGTCGTCTACGAAAGCGCTCTTGTTCCCTCACGGAAGTACCTTGGGAACACTAAGGAACAGTTCAAGGGCAACACTACCACGGCCAGATATCAAATTACGAAACCTTCACTATACTCTCTCAATACACTACCGGACTATTGTTGTTGTTGAGATCATAACAGCATAGTTGCCGTGTAGCCATAGTAAGAACTTGGGTACGACATCTTATTGTACTTGCGCTGCGTACAAGCCAGCCAGCGTCCTTTCTACGCTTTCACGCCCAAGTCTGGAAGTGTTCAAGACTCTACGATGCATAACCCCACATCGCCACGTCTACCAGGCGTTCCCGTCCTACGTTTAGACGCCACTGGTGCCGAGTACTCGCGCTGGCGACGCAGCCTCAAGTTTGCTTTGGAAGCCAAGGGAACATGGAAACATTGCAATGGCGAGGCCACAATGCCCATGCCAGATGCAGGCTCACGAGAGACAGCAAGCACCACACAGCCAAGTCTGCTCGAAGAACGAAGAGCCTGGGTACGACAGGATCGCGAAGTCAAGCTAGACATCTACCTCTGCCTGACGGAAGAAGTCATGCTGGAAGTCTTTGAAGTAGGCCCACCTCTACCACCGTCCCATCTGTCCGCACTGGAAATAGTCGAATCGCTAGATGAGCACTTTACCTCGTTCAAGTTTGAGGATTACCACCATGCATTCTGCCACTTTTTAAACCTCCACATCGACCAGTACGCAACCATCATCGAATTCAACTATGAATTCTGGACCACCCTCGAAGACCTCGTGGATCACGGCCATCCACTATCAAACACACAGGCCTGCAGCGCCTACTTTTCCAAATTGAGATGCACGCAAAACCCCTGGGTCGCGAAGATGCTGCAGCAGTGGGACTTGCAGAGTGGCGAGCCACAGCTCCTGGAATTGATGCGAGAATCACTTCGTTGGAATGCTATTCGTCCCATATCATACTATTCGTCTCATAACCAAATCGCCGCGTCTATCCCGGACGAGACATATTGCAGTGACTCGGCACGCTCCAGTCTCGAGGCCGCGGTGAAAAACCCGTACACATCCGTCACATCATCGCCTACCCCTTACCATTTGAGCAACACACTGGAAGATGCAACGATTTCCATCGGACTCTGCCTCACCGACTCTACCCCTAGCTTTCCAGATCCAGATTCCCCAACCATCCCCAACGACCCACCACCACACTCCCCCCCAACCCCTATCCACCACCTACCCGCAAACCCACCAAACCCCCGCCTAGAAACCCGCCTCCCCACTCTCCAAACAACCCCACACCTCCCCGAATCCCTGCGTTCAAAATCCGCCTCACCCAGACTGCCAAGCACAAGCGTCGGATACACTGTCTTCCCACACAGTTCACACGATGCGGGTGCATGTGATACCTCTCTCCCCGACACCATGGCTTCGAGCACGACACCGCCGATGCTCAAGCGCGTCGTGTCGCTCAAGACAATGCCATCACAGCTCAAGGGGCCGCTGGGTCGAGCACCACCGCCACTGTCTGAACATCCTGCGTTTCGTACAGGAGCGGGGGTATCGGGAGGGGAGGATGCTGTAGATGACACGGGGGGTCGTTTTGCACGGGATTCTTGTGCAATGTTGACGCCTGGGCCGGTGTCTGCTGGTTTGAGTACGCCGGTGGAGGGGGATGATGGTGCATCGATGTCATCATCATCATCGTCCTCGACCTCGACCTCATCCTCATCATACCCCAAACACCCACAGCCCCGGATCACAAACCCCCTACAGCGCCGCCACTCATCATGCACAGACATCTCCAGCACCAAACAACCCACGCCCATCCTCCTCCAACATCAACACCCACCACCACCATCCCCCACCTCAACCCCAACAACAACCACCCCTTACCTCCCCGTCTCCACCTGGAGCGCAAACAGCAGCACCCTCAGCCTCCCCCTCCAAGGCACCCCCACCCCAGAACCCATGACCGCCTTACCACGCATACCAGCGGCGCCAAAGTGGAAAACGTTTGGGGGTACAGAGGGGGGTGGGACGGTGGCGATGGCGATGGCGCTTGCGCGGAAGAAGGAGAAGGAGAAGGCAAGGGAGAGGGAAAAGGAAAGGGAGGAAGTGCAAGGCAAGAGCAAGAAAATGGGTTTACAAGGGGGTGCGGTTAAAGCAAGTGAGGTGCAGAGGAAGAGGGCGTGGAGTATGGGCATGAAGTTTTCAAGATTCAGTCATTCCAGGGGGGTTAGGGAGATGATTTAGGTTGCATCTCCCCTATTCCCCCCATCAGTCTCTTTGCGTTTGGAACTCTGCAAGAATCCCCATGACCCTCTTTGCGTTGAAATTTACGAGCGCTGTTGTAACTTTATCTTCTCATCAATCACACAATACACCATGGTGCAATCCTACTTGTAAATACAGGGGCTTTGGATCGACAACGGCATGCGTGATTCAGTCTATTACTACAGAGTAGGAGAGAATCGTCTTGTCTACCCAGCAGACGCTACTTTGGTTTGATCATGATTCGTCTATTCATGACATGATTGCAAGTCCCTCCTGCTTACTGCGTCTCACGAACCACCTTGTCGACAGCCTTTGCAAAGTAGTCAATATTGTGTGTGTTGAGGCCGGCCATCGAGATGCGACCGTTCTTGGTCATGTACACGTGCGAGTCCTCGCGGATCTTCAGCACCTGCTTCTCGGACAGACCGGTGAAGCTGAACATGCCAATCTGGTCTGTGATGTGGTTCCAGGTTCCCGGGGTACCCAGCTCCTCGAGCTTGCTGCGAAGTGCCGTCCGCATCTCCTTGATACGACCCGACATTGTGCGGAGGTTGGCCTCCCACTCGGCAAAGAGCTCCTTGTCGTTCAAGACGGTGGATGCGATGCGGGCACCATAGGCCGGGGGGTTCGAGATCTCAGAGCGCTGGAGGATGGCGAGTTGTGAGGCAATGCGGGCCATGGTGGACTGGGCATCTGACGAGGGCGAGGTGACAAAGTGGAAGCATCCAGCACGTTCACCATAGAGACCAAAGTTCTTGGCGTACGACTGGGCAATGCACAGCTCGAAACCCTGCTCGACAAAGTAGCGGATGGCCCAGCCGTCCTGTGCGAGGTCGCCCGAGGCAAAGCCCTGGTAGGCCGTGTCGAAGAAGGGGAAGTGCTTCTTGGACTTGATGACGTCTGCAATCTTCTTCCACTGGTCCTGCGTCGGGTCCACACCGGTGGGGTTGTGAGCGCAGGCATGGAGCAGGATGATGCTGCCCTCGGGTGCGGCCTGTATTGTGCTGATCATGCCCTCAAAGTCGAGGCCCTTGGTCGACTTGGAGAAGTAGGGGTAGGTCTTGTACGACAGGCCGACGTTGGAGAAGATCTGGAAGTGGTTCGCCCATGTTGGGTCCGAGAAGTAGACGGTGCGTTCTGACGTGGTCCGGTAGAACTTTGCAAGAAAGAGGGCGCCTAGATGGACGGCACCGGTGCCGGAGATGGTCTGCAGGCTGGTGACCTGGGTGGTGGTGGTCTTGCGTCAGTTGCGTGTTGTGACGAGGCGTGATGACTCAGTGTATAGGGAGGGAGGGAAGGCACTCACCCGCTTCTCCTTGATGGCGGGGCTGTCACCGCCGAGGACCAGCTTCTGCGAGGCCGAGGTGAATTCGGCAAGACCAGCAATGGGCAGGTACTCGTGGTTGAGGTTCGGGTCGTTGCGGAGGCGGTCGTCGGCCTAGAAAGTCAGTCCATCAGCCCACACGTACCGATCAGGGTTGGTAGAATAGATTGGACAAAAGGCCCTGGCCATGGAAGTGGGGGAGGAGCAGTTGTGTTTAGGGGAAAAGGCAGACTTACCTTCTTGACCACAGGCAGGATCCAGGGCTTCGCATTGTCGTCACGGTAGGCTCCAATGCCCAAGTCGACCTTGTTGGGATCCTCGTCGCGACGAAAGGCAGCCATGAGACCAAACAGGGGGTCTTCGGGCGCCTGCGGAACCACGTCCGCGCTGAAAGCAGTGGCTGCCATGGGGGAAATGTGGGATGAGATTTGGGAGAGCCGGGACTGTGTGCTGGCCTGCGGGGGGTGTGAGGGTGGTGAGGATGTCGAGGCAACAGAAGAAGTTGCAATGGACGATGAAGAAGAAGAAGAAGAAGGAGAAGAAGGAGAAGAAGAAGGAGGAGGAGGAGGAGGAGAGGTAGAAGAAGGAGGTGGAGGAGGAGAAGGAGGTGCGACCATAGCTGCTGCAGACGTTGTTTCAATACCCAAGTAACCAACAAAGTCCACTCCCCTCAGTCCAGACTCGGGCGCGCGGGGTCCAACGCCTCACCGCCTTCCAACGGGAAGCCGTGAGACGGGGACGACGGGAAACCCCACAAGTGCTGGCGTGAGAAGATGGGCTGTGCAGTTGGCGGGGTTATGGATTGCCTGGCTTTGTCTCGAGTATTGTACAATCCTCGTCCAGACCGTAGTATAAGGTACAGGTCGCTATGTGGCGGCGGGGATGTGCGGAGAGGGCGGGACCTGGCTCCACGGGACAAAGGGCTTGCGTGCGTCTCTCTCCTAGACTACTGCTACGACTCTTAGCAGTCGGGAAGATGGCTTATGGAAGAAAGCTTGGTTATATATACACTTCTCCTGCTTGCGGGTCTGGTGAACAAAGCCGAGGCACATGGCCATCATGACCAGCTTCCAACTGCATCTATTAGGTCAAAGGTCAACACCCACACACGTCCTCCTCTCACATGCAATTGACTACCACATCTGGTGCCAGGTTTCCCCGAACTCCCGCTCCACCCCATCCTCTCCTCTCGCCCCTTGCCACTGGTAGATGATCTTGAGTCTCGTCTTTTGCATAGTCACACACACACACACACACACACACACACACACACACACACCCGCCTTGAAATCAACATCCACCTCAGACAAACAGATCCCACAGCACCAGCGTTCCGCAAAAAGCACAAGTTGCCCAAAACACCTTTTGCGCTGTGCTCCCTCGCTCCGTCGCCCGCTTCAGCTCCTTGTTCCCGCTCCCGACATTCTCCGTCGTCTGGAACGAGTCTTGCACAAGCTGGTCAATGTGCGCCGACTGCAGGCTGAGGTTGTTGGCGAGCGTCGATTGCAGCTCCGAAATCTCCGTCAGTGACTTCTCCGTGGCCCTGTTCAGTTGCACTCCAACGTCAGCCAACACACTCGACCACGTTTCCAGGGCAGGGTGGGTGCGCACCGAACTTTATCCAGCTGGTCCTCGTACTGCTTCAACATGTCCTGGTTCTCCTGCGCAAAGAGCTGTAGTTGCTCGGGGTCCAGCTGATTCTCCACTTCCTTCACATCCGCCTCGCCCTGGCTGCTCGGGCCCGTGGCCCGTGTCTTGTACAGCACGCTCTTGCTCTTCTCCACCTCCCTCAAAAGCCTGATTTCCATCATCTTGCTCTGAAAGCGCCCACATGCCTCGAGTTGGTTCTGCAACGACCATATAATGCTCTCCCTGTGTGCCCTGATGTTATTCGCCTTTGCCTCTTCAACGCTCTCCTCCACGCTCTTGGCCGTAATGGCCCCACCAGCAGCCCATCGTCCCAACGCGCCGAGGCCCTGTTTGGCCCGTTTCCTCAGTGCAACCTGCGACTCTGTCGTCTGCCGTATCTGCTCTGCGTCGCGGAGGGTGTTGATGGCGTAGTTTAGGTCGCGCAGAGATTGCTTTGCCTGGGCATCGATCTCCGTGCGTTCTGCATCGCTCAGGTACCTCGTCTCCTTATCTGCTGAGAGGGAGGCGCTAGAGCGCGCATATTGCTTCCGTCGGGGAGCATGGGCCGTGGAGAGATAGCTTCGTCGTATGGACTTGAGGTCGCTGTGCAGCTTGGTGATGTGTGTGCGCTGTCATGGTCAGCTCCCATGCTCCCAGTCTGTTCGGCGCGCAACGTGGCCTACAATGCGGTATGCCTCCTTGAGAAACTCGTCCAGGTCGTCGACTCGAAATACAGGGGGCTCAATGGGCCCGGCATTGTGTGTGGCCAGCACCTGGTTCAAGACAGGCGTAATGTCCATTGTGCCGGGGGTGTTGGAGGAGGGGGGGCGGGGCGGAGCGGCTAGTTCTTTGAATTACAGTGAATGGTGAGCGAGAGCAATGACCAGAACTGACGATGCTTCCCAGTTGATCCCCGCGACTTGGCCCGTGCCGCCCCACCATTCTATCGAACATCCGTCGAACCAGGCCAAGCTCACGACTCGATGCTGGCACGACGGTCATGCATTTTCAGCTGCAACATGGCATGAAAACGTCGTACACGTATGTGTGTGACGAAACATGGCCTAAAGATCAATGGTCTTGGAACTCTGTACCCTCTCAGCCTCAGTGACTTGCCAGCTTTGGGGACCCGATTGGATACCTTCAGACCAACGAGCTTACCCATCTTCCGCCTTTGCCTGCCTGAAGCCGTGAGCTCATGACCTCGGAGGCCTTGTCGAGTCCACTTTCAACGAGAAACCACTATTTTTAGTCGGATGGTTGGCTCATCTGTTGGACGGCAGGTCAGCTTACCGTTACGCCTCCTCTCCAACTTCCAGGCTTGTCTTGGGTGACTGGACAGGTTCCTCGCCTGGTCCAGTACAGCCCCATGTGCTTGCATTTGCCTTTTTGGACATCCTCTGTCTTGTCGTGCATATAAGAATTTCCTCGGATGAAGCCTACGTTTGCTTCAATTTCACTGTTGTCATTCACGGTTGTCTCTCTTTCCTTCCATCCTGAAAGTCTCTTCTCTACCTACACTATACGCACGCAGTCACCATGCTCTCCCTTCCCATGCTCACCACTCTCATCACCCTTCTCCTCTCTCCTCCTGCTCTAGCCTTACCCTCTGCCCTCCACACCCGCGCCGATGAGGCTTGCGCACCAACCTCTTACACAATCTCAGCCTACAGCCTGACCACCTCGCCCACATCAGGCCAGGTTTCCTTCACCCTCCAATCTAGCTTCTCCAGCAGCACAGATGTCATCGACAGCGTCCAGGATGGCGCTCAGTGCCTCGCAAATGGGCCTGTGATACCCAACAGCAATGAGTGTGAAGTGGACGGTCGGAGGTTGCTGTTTGATCTGAGGGGCCCACAAGACGAAGCATACTATCAAATCACTCATACTTGGACTTGCGAAGGGTATGTTGGATTCAGTCCTTGATCTGTGTATTTCCATGTTTCATTCTTGGTCCACGGCAATGTGTTGCTTTTACAGCCTTTGCAGACCGTGATGGCTGACAGTAGGGATAGATCTACTTGGATGTCCGGTACGCCCGTCAAAATGGGCCCGTTGACTTGTGTCGTTGACGGGATGACACGAATATGCCGTACCGATACTCAGACGGTTGTCCCAGAGAATGTGAGGAAAATTTGTGCTACACCCACATGTTAATATCTATCATGGAAGTTGGTACCGTAATGGACAGGAGGTAATGTGTTTGTCGTGTACAACCAGCCTCATCGTATCAGTCGGGATTCGGGCCAGGAGCATACAAAACCAATGAGCCAATAATATGGATCAGAAATATCCGATGCACGAGTGTATTTCCACTCTTGTTGCTCTTCATTTTGACTTCACTTGGTCGAGTGGGGACGTACAAACGAGAAAAATTGCCTGTTTTCTTTATGTAGTAAGAACAATATGTTGCATAGATTCCTGAACCTTGTCCATGATTCGAATTAGGGCATCTAGGCGGCCTCCATGGCAAATCGAAGAAGTCATCTTTCATCATGTATATAATTAGCTCTCGAATGTACAAGTCTGATTTCATTGCGGAGAGCCTTGAGGTATGGCCAACTTGAGCCATGCCACCTACTTTGTATACTATCAGTCATGAGATTGCAAAGAGGATAGGGGGGGGGGTATCTTAGTCGCCAGCTCATATCAAGCAAGCCTGTTCAAGGTAGGGGTTATTAAAACAGAATCGAGAATACTACGTCATCGTACATAGACTGCTTCTCACCGACTAAACTGCGCAAAAACACCATTACCAGGTGGGCCTTGGGAAGCAGAATGGTCCTATGGAAATTCAGACATATCCTGGTCATTAGTGAGCAACGAGCTCGACTCGTCCTCTCGGTCATGTGGCTCGCTTAACCATCGAGCGATTTCTTTGAGCCTGACGTCTACGCTCGACATTGTTGCGGACTGTGGATGAGCACCGAGTGTCTCAGCACGGCTCAAAAACGCTCGGGCTTGATGGAGTTCCCGCTGGCCATTGCTGAGTCGAGTAAGCTGTTCCCTCGATAGGTGCGGCGGGTCACTACTATTTTCCGACGTAGAGTCCATGTTCCAGTCCTTGTCATGGGATACATGGCCAATGATCAGGTCACTCATCCAGAGACTGACATGTGCACGAAGTTGTAGCAGGCTGATTTGCTTGTCAAAAGGAGGGGAAACGACGAGGCGATCCAGTCGCTCAGCAATTTCCATGGCTCGAGCAAGCTCTTCTACTCTTACTGCCTCTTCCCTGGCGTCCATCTCTCCCGTGTCAGGACGAGGAAGACTGTCCACAGATGGGTTTCGTGACAGGCCTGGCCGTTCTGCGTCATGATTCCGGAACCTTGCCCGGGCACGTTTGCTCTTCTCGCAAACCTCGAAGATCCAGAGAGAGAACATGGCAGGATAAAAGGTGCGTTCGTCAGTAGCCGTGGGCGCGAACCGACGATGCGGGTACTGCACAATCAGACGCTGGTAATACTCTCTGGCCAGCTCGAAGCCTTGCACTGAGAAGATGTCGTCTCCAGGTGGTTGGGATGCCTCTAGAACCTGATGACCTTGCATGGTAGCAGGTTGAGGGTTACGGTGGAGCAATATTTCGGCACCGATTCCCCAGCGATCATGATTGCGTGGATCGACGGTGCGGGTGCCAGCCACTTGGGTGCGCAAGATGAGGCCCCATGCTCTCCCAGCACGTTCGTAGTCACCTTGGAGCAGGCGTGTGTGCATGAGGGTAGACAGGACGTCTAGATGCCTCTTCTTCAACGCAGTCGTCGCTCTCTGGCCATGGTGAGAGCGGGTCTCTGACTCATCCTGGACAGCATATAGAGGTGATGACAGTGTGGCCATGTCTTGGTGAGCGTTAGCGTAGCCATAGTGGGTGCGAGCTGTTTTAGCAGGTGCATGAGGAAACGGTGCTGCAGGGACTTGGTCGTCTTCTTCGGGCAGCAGGCCTGCGAGACGCAATTGGACTATTTCTGGTGTTGCAGAGGAGGGATACGAGCGTGAGCTGACCTGAGCTTCTGGACTGGCCGACGACAGGGACGATGATGATGATGTCGATGATGATGACGACTGGGGCTCTTCTGGATCTTGTGGGCCGCGCCTGGCCTTGTGCTTTTTCCTGTAGTGGGATGCACGCAGCGAGTGCGTTGTCTGTTGCTCATTGCGCAGCTGCGAGGCAAAATACTGCATGATTGTGTGTTGTGCAGAGAGGACTGACGCGAAGATGCAGCCATGCAATCAGAGGTGATTGTAGTTTGATGACTGTGGTGAGGATCCTGGGCTGGGGCCGGGGGAGAGAGCGGTGAGGCTGAGGGCCGTTGCAAGGCCAGGCGACTGGTGACTGACTGACTGGTTGCTACCAAGGACACGCCAACGACAGGACAACGACGACTCACGGCAACGAGGGCGGGCAGGCAGGCAGGCAGGATAAGGGGAACTGGTTGGGAGGGAGAAAAGCAAAGGGAGGGACAAGCCAAGACAGGCCAGGAGCCCTCGAAGCGCTCATTGATGGCTGTCAGTGAAGGAAGCAGGTCACGAGGGGAGCTAGGCTAGGCTAGGCTAGGTCAAAATCAAATCAAATCGACATCATAGTTGGAAGCTTGGGGGCTGCATCCGGTTAGCGCCGTCTGTCTGCCTTCAATCCATGTGTGTTTGCCAGTGGAGAGCATCAATCAAATCAATCAATCAATCAATCAATCAATGTCGCCAGAGCCAGCCTACCCAGCCTGCTGCCGCCTAGTGGTAGTAGTGGTAGTAGTGGTAGTGGTAGTTAGTTGCTCAGCAGTCCGTAGTAGAGAGTGCCTTGACAGTGACATGCTTAGGCCAAGTGTGTGCATGCAAGCTAACAACAACTTACCACTTCTGATTCCTCTCGCTGCTGTCGTTGGGGGAAGAAGGCTCGGCTGTGTCATGACCACCGACCAAGAACCGCCTTCCGTCGCCGAACCTCACCTCGCCTCGCCTTCGCGCCCCGGCAGCAACTGTACAGCGCGCGCCTATCCTCACCTGCCCACCCCTCGCACCCCTCCTCCTCCTCCTCCTCCTCGCTCCCTCCTGTGGGCCTCGGCCCTCGCCTTCGAGGAAGCAAAATTCTACAATCTCCGGCTGCACGAATACCGCTGGACCCTCTCCGTCTCGTCCGAGCGCGCCTAGTTTCTCGAGTATGCCGTCTCCATGCTCGATGCTAGCCGGGCCATGCTCAACAAACTGGCCTACAACCCCAGCCTGGCTGAGCAGATTATCACTGCGCGTGTGCCGCCGGCATCGCCTCCACGACAATACTCGTCGTTTTCGTCGTCGCACATGGCGCATCAGCACCGACAGCACGAGTTTGCTCGGTATGACTGCGAAGATGT